TGTACATTATTGTGTATAATAATGTTATGTATAATATCTAATATACATAATATGCAATAATGTAATAATGTATATTATGTATAATATAATATATTATGTATATTATAATATATATATACAATATTATGTACATTATACAAATTGAAAATTATATTTTATATATTTATATATTATATGTTATATAAATATTTATATAATGAAATATACAATACATATTGCAAATTGAAATATTATATAAACACCATATTTATGATATTATAATATTTATAATTAATATTATGTATATTAAATATTTATATATTTATTTATACATATTATAAGTATTTTATTTTATTTAAAAAATATTTTTATATATTTATAATATATTTATATGAATATTATATATTATATAAATTATATATAATATAATATATATTATATATTATATATATTATAAATTTATATAATTGTACATTTATACGTAATATATATATTAATGTATATTTGTAATATATATTTATATTATGTATTATATATAATATAATACATTTATAATACATTTATACATTTATATTAATATACATAATATTAATTTTACATTTATACATAATATTAATACATTTGTACATTTATATTAATTATATTAATACATTTATACATAATATTAATATATATTAATAAAATTATGATTTATACATTTATATAATATTCATTTGTAATTTATAAATTTATAATAATATACACTTATACACTTACAAATATATTTATATTATGTATTATATATAATATAATACATTTATAGTGCATTTATATATTTTTATATAAATACATAAATATATTTATGTATAAATATTTATAAATGTATTATAAATGCATAAATGTATATTTATGTAAAAATATAAAAATTATAATTTATACATTTATACATTTATATAATATTCATTTATAATTTATACATTTACAATAACATACACTTATACACTTATACATTTATAAATATATTTATATTATGTATTATATATAATATAATAAATTTATAATACATTTATATATTTTTATATAAATATATAAATATATTTATTTATAAATATTTATAAATGTATTATAAATGCATAAATGTATATTTATATAAAAATATAAAAATTATAAATTATAAATTATAAATTATACATTTATATAACATTCATTTATAATTTATACATTTGTAATAATATACACTTATACATTTATAAATATATTTATATTATGTATTATATATAATATAATACATTTATATATTTTTTAGCGAATATATAAATATATTTATTTATAAATATTTATAAATGTATTATAAATGCATAAATGTATATAAAAATAAAATTATAATAATTATAAATTATAATAATGCCCAAAAATATGTTTTAAAAATACCTCTGAAAATAATACAACAAACATCTACAGTAAAAGTTTTTCATATAGTTTTTGAAAAACATCCCCAAAAACAACTAATCCAAACGGACTTGTATTTCAAAAACGATTTCAAAAACGAAATGCTACAGTGCTGTTTTTGAAAAATAACCGCAAAAATAGCTAATCCAAACGGAGCCCTTGATTTTAATCACTAAACTATATGTGATCAAAATTGTAGTACACCAATGTTTAAAATGCTATGGCTACTCTCAAACAAAAAGTGTGCAAGACTTTATAAGGATATCAAAATAGCCAAAATCTGTATTTTGGCAAAAGAATTTCATAATTTTCTTTTTTTTTATATATTCATTTTTTTTAACCACCAGCCTTTATGTGATTAAAATACTTCATGCATCAAATAATTCAGATGTAAGACACACTTTACAAAGGAAATTCTCTGAAATTTAAATATAGTCAACTATACTAGTGTTGACATTATAATATGAGATACATGAACATGAATGTAGTGCACAAAATACTACATAATTCCAAATAACAATAGGAACATGGAGGCAAATTCATATTGAAATCATGCCTTTAGACATTTAATTCATAATAAGGTAGTAGAGATTCAATAAACCTCTAGATCCATTCATATAAAGTCAATCAATTATCTTGCATGGATTAATATAATATTAATCTTTTGATGGTTGAATATAACAACTCTTTATATGTTTCTTGAATTGTTATATTATAGTGATAATAACAATCAATACATATAACCCTTACAATCACAAATATGTAAGTCTAAAAAACATTCAAATTACTTGCAATCATACCAGATTATTGGAGAAAATCTGGATGAATTGCATAACCAAATAAGATATCATATGAATGATACATATATATATGATTAGTCATTAAATCTCAATTATTGAGAAAATAAACCATAGATCCCATGACAAATTAAATTCGATTCGTTCAAACTTGATATGAATCTCTAAAACTTTTATCAGATTGCCAATAAATCATGAAATTATAAGCTGAACAACATGATTAGAGGTTGGCTCTGATACCACATGTTAAACTAACTATGTACATGCGAATGTACTATGCAGAGGAAATTTAAATATAGTACATATGAATGTATTACGTAGCGAAAATTTAAATATACTTACCTCTAACCATTGTTGTCAAGTATAAGTTGATCTCTTCTTGTATCTTTGACTTCTTCTTATCTATTCTAACAAAACAAAATATGTAGAAGAAGAAAAAGTAGAAGGAGAATTTAGAGTAAGGATCTTCTAGCCTATGCCTAACCCCAAAAGTGTACAATTGATGGAATACCACAGGCTATTTATAAGCTAGGCTAGGGACCCTTACTGAAAAATACAAAAATCCCTAGAATTTCCTTCCATCAAGGAAATCTTACCAAAATTCATAACTGAAATAATATTTTCTGACTAATTGATTGATTTGATTACTTAACTGATTGAATAAGACATCAATTAATAGTAGATATCAATCAATCATTGGCAAATGGAATATACTAATTAATTATTTACAAAATGTCAATCAATTAATCAGGATGTCAATCACTAATCATTATGTAATGGGAGATGCTAATTAATTATTGACAAAATGTCAATCAATTAATTATGATATCAATCATTTTAGAATCAATCATGTGGGTCATAATTGCCTCAAAAGAGGCAAGTCATACAAAGAGCACTTTATGATTCATTTTTGTTAGAATGGAAGGCTTGCAAAGGCTAGACCCACAAGAACAAGAAATACTATTGAGAAAAGGACTGGTGGTATCCTCATTCATTCACGTATACCTTCTAGAGAAAATGCCCTGTGGAAAGCAATAATGGAGCTTCTCAAATATCTAGAACTGTTACCATAGAAACTAATGCAACTACTAACTCTGCCAATGTTAGTAGCTCCTTCAGCTTGTGGTTTTAATGGCTGATCACTACATATCTAATTAGTAATTTATATAGTATTTTACAAAGCTGCAGTCAGTGGTAGTGGTATGAATCTTTTGTACATCAAATCTCATGATGGAACTGATACCATATAGTCACCTAGTCACCTAAGCTTAGCAATCCTCACCATCTGGACAACTAGTCTGAGATGGTGTTTTGTGTTCAATGGATTGCTTGGCAAACTTAAATCTGTAACTGAAAGTAAGGTGCTACAGTTGCAACATTTACAATCCTAATCATCTGCAAAGCCTATTAAGATGTTTCTTTTTTGCCCTGGATTGCTCATTATGGGTATTCAATCAACTTGAGTGTATGGCCTTGTTATTTATCATATTTAAGACTTGTTTTAGTTTATTTTGTTTATAGTGCTTTGTACCACTTGCATATGCAATTGTACAAGTGGTTCTATAATTTTTTTGTTTTGAAGCATGGTAGATAAACTCCTATTAAATATTGTAGATGAATTTAAATCCACCATATCTTGACCTTGTGGTTCTATCACTATATAATTACCAAGGCTCAAGTTTTGGTGGTACATTCTTACAATTTTATCCAATTTTTCTTCTTTTTTTTATTGCCATTTTTCTTGCTCAAAAATTTTAACTCATTTTCTTGTAGGATCAATGGGGATAAACTTGGAATATAATTGTTTGACAAGACTGATTCATCATTTTTAAATTTACTTTTTATGACATGGACTTGATTTGTTACCAAATATGTCAATCAAGGGGTGGGTAGTGTAATTTTTGATATTAGAAAGTATTTATGTGTAATTGTCAGAAATTTTGAAGGAGGTTTCTGAAATTATCCCTAAACATAACTATAGAAGCATTATTATGGGAAATAAAAGCTTTTGCCATTGTACATAGGAAAAAGAGAAATATTACCTGGATAAAACAACTATAGAAGATATGTATATATAAAAAGAAACCTACAAAACACTTTATCGCCATATAAAGCTTATGTTTACTAGAGCTATAAATGCGCATAAGAATTGTTCTGCGTACGTAGTAGGTTACTAAAAAGCAGATAATGTTTTCGGTAATGATGCTCAACTTTTTAATTTCATACACTTTCCCTTTTATTCTTTATTATGTGCAAAAGATAAAAATGTTCATGACAGTTAACACTTGAGTTTTCGTACTAAGATGGCGCAGAAGAGAAAATATGAAGTTAGAATAGGAGTGGAAAAATTATGTCACTTGTTCATTTGTCTACTTATTTGATACAAGGGAGACTTTAAGCAAAGAAAAAGGAAAAATGCAGAGATTTCAGTACCGAATTAGGCATCTTATGAGCAGCTGATTAATAATGTTCCTATCAGTTTGAATTGCGCAAAGTCTTGGGACCATCACAGTTCTTATTTGCATTGATACATGGTTTGTGAAAAATTTGCTTGCAATGTTTATGTGCTTTCGAACCTAGCTTGAGCTTATGAAATGATTAGTAATGCCCAATCGTAAATGAATTTTCGTACTTTAGAATGCCATCTCAGTCAAACCGTGGAGCAACACAGCAAAAGTTGCCCTATCAGCGATCCCATTGCAGCCAGACCAGCTACATTCCCCTTAGCCACTTCATGACAAAAGCTGCAATATTATTCACACATCAAATTTACAGATGAACTCTTCCATTTTTCACAGTTCTTTTTTTCCCACTCATTTTGTCACTTTACAACTCTCTTAAACAAAAGGCCCAAAAAAGCCAAAAAAAAAAGGAACTTTTACAGAACAGAACCACTAGGGGCTACTGTTTCTATATTTTGCGCAAAATTATATTTGCGCCATGTTGAGGTTTATGGGTTACAACGAAACAAGGAGCATGAATATAAGATGGAGAAAGCTCAAATTCGAAATGTTGAAGTATCATTGTCAAAGCAAGTTTAGCTTCCATCAAAGCAAAATTGTTACCGATGCAAATTCGAGGACCCCAGCTGAAAGGAAAGAATGAAAGTTGATTTTTCGTGGCTTTAGCGATGCCTTGGGAAAATCTTTCAGGTTTGAATTCTTTGCAGTCTTCACCCCAGAGTTGAGGATCATGATGCAGTAGGATTATAGGTAACATGAGGAATACACCTGGAGGAAAACTCATTTCTCCTAGTTTTGTTTCTTCGTAGATGGTCCTTGAGAATATTATAGATGGTGGATACAACCTCAGAACTTCGTACAAAATCATCGTTACCTGCGTTTAATAGAAACTTAAGGAAGATATCAACATGGAAAGAATTTCACATTTAAATATAAAGCTTAGGGTCTATTTGACAACATTAAAAAGTGCTAAAACTGAATTTTTTCGGACATTCAAATGTTTTGAGTGTTTGATAAATGAAAATCCATCTGCTGAATTTGTTAAACAGTGCTGAAGTTGTCTGTATTTTTTTCAGCATAAGAATCCTAACTGAATACTTAATTCTGATAAGAATTAATAGAATTACTTCAACTATCTTATTTTATTTATCAAATCTACCATTGTTTGTTAATTATGTTCAAAATTCTTGTCTAATTAAACAATCTGATATTCTCTATCTAAGGGTTTTCTATTTCTTTTTTCTCCCTTTGTAATGACTTTTACATCTTCTCCATACTCCTCATATAATATATTTCATCTTTTATAATAATTTGATTTAAAAATAAATATTTTCATTTTCATGCCTAATAATTTTAAGCTAATTAAATCATAGGTTCTATTTCTTTTTTGGATGTAAAGATATAAGGGCAAAATTGTTAAATTTAACTTATTAACCATTCAATAATAAATGTTTATCAAATAGTATAAATAGGTTTAGCATTAAAATTCAGACATTTATATATTTCTTTTCAGTGTTTAAAATTCAGCAAATTAATTGTTTCAGTATTCAGATTTTAGAATTCAGATTCAATTTTATCAAACGGAACCTTAATCCATGAAAAAGAATATTGTCAAAAAATAATTTCACATAAAAATTGCTAGGATGTTAAGAGGCTTGGACTGATATAGGGATAGAGTTATAACATATACAAAAGATTTTAGTCTAGTGATTAAATTTGAAACTCCAAAAATTAGAGGTGAGGGTTGTGATCTTCTTGTTTCCTCCCCTCTTTTTAAAACCCACCCCTCTTCTTCTAGAAAAAAAAAATTTAAGAAAAAGGGTAAGCACGTTAATTTGCACTACTTAAGTAAATATAAAATCATATAGTGTTGAAAACATTTTTTTCCTTTTTGGGGTCAAGGGAGGAGCAAGTAATTAGTGCTTACTTTTGGTAACAAAGGAGAGGAAACCCGGGCAAGTGGGGGACAAGATTTTTTGAGCCCTACATAATTTTACAAGATCAAGGAGAAAAAGATGTGGTGATGTGTAAAAATCTGTGTAATTTGATAATGGAATTCTATTCATGAAATTTGTCACTGTAATTCTACATCAGAGAATTGAGAAAATCTAGTTACCGTTTGAGGAAAGTTGAAGGTACAAGAATACTTACAATTTTGAGGCGGTTTAAGCCATCATAATCTGGTTTGTTATTCCCGAAAACTCGCAAAATCTCTTCTCTAGCATGAACTTGCCAATGTGGGTGCATGCTTAACAAAACCATGGTCCATACCAGCAGATTTGAGGTACTTTCTTGGCCAGCAAAGTAAAATGTTTTGCATTCCTCAATCACCTCGCCAGTACTCAAACCATGCTTTTTTCCTTGCTCTTGAATTTCTCTTGCATTGGATTTCAATAACATAGACAACAGGTTGTCATCATCATCTTTTCCTAGCTTCATGACCCTTTCTCTTTCCATTATAATATCTAGAAAAAGAGCTTGGAGTTCATTGTTGATCTTTTTCATTCTCTTGTTTCTCTTTGTTGGTAGAAAACTGCAAATAGCAAATTAACACTTTTATCCTTTAGAGGCCTTGAGAAAAACAGTAATAAGTTTTTTCTAAAAGAATAAAATTGCTGTTTTTAATTAACAGATAAATGCATGATAATCAATATCACCTCCATCCTGGAATGTAAACTGATTTCAAAACTTGGCCAGTTAATTCTGCTTGTTCTTTCTGAAGCTTGAATATCTTTCTTCCTTGTGCGTGGCAGTTTCCGAATGTAGTTCTTGAAATCACATCGCTGGTTAAATCATCAAAATGAGGCTGCACATCCAACTCCAAACAACTCTTTTCTGCTAATAGAGTTTCCCACTTCCTTATCATTTCATTGCAGCAAAAGTACATTTTAGGCAGCATGTTCTGCACAAAATTGACACGAAGAAAATCGTTATCAATTTCTTGATAAAGTGAAAGATGTAATCACGTTTAGAAATCTTTGCTTTGTAGATAATTGAAATTTGATCCTTTTGAAAGGTCTACTACTAATTACTTAGGTAAAAAAAATTACTAGACAAGTGGCTTTGCTTCTCTTGTATGTATGTGGTATTCACATTTATATATCAAACTCTCATAAAAAAAAAAACCTCTGTCCAACCTTTTCTCTTATTAGGAGCAATGACTTAATTTGTATCATGATTCTGTTACTTAATTGGAAGGGCTGAATAGGCTATTTTCCCCCTAAGCTAGTTGTATACGTTTTCTAAGCCTAGAAGTATTTCTAAGGTACTCTAATTAGTTTTCAAGTTCTGTTTTTAACTAATTAATTTAAGCAAAATTCCTATTGGTTTTGGATGGTATCTTTTCATGTTTCACTTTTCCAAATAGGTTTGTCCTTCTCAAAACTATCAAAGAAGTGCATTATCATAGGGTTTTTTAATAGCTTTTCCAATGCATTTACTTGTAAGCAACTTCAGAACGGGTAGAGCAAAGAAAAAAACATGCCTTGCATAACATTGTAAAATCTACTTAGGTTATTAATATTTATTTTTCTCTAACAAAATTTGATTTATTGGAACATTTTATTTGGATTATAATATACAAATTCAGAAATTTCTTCTTAGTTAAGTATCATATATAGAATCTACTAAGCTCTTAATAATTCTAAACTCCTATAAGAGAAAATTTCTTTCTGTCCCTTGTTTTTGTCAAATATTGAAAAAAAATTTCTTATTATCCACAAAACGCGTTTGTCAACAACTTTTTTTCTTATCTCACATACATCACATTAAAATAGTACTATAATAAATAATCCTAAAAATTTTTTCCAACAAACCTTCAATCCATACAAACCTTTTATGTTGTCTTTTGTCTAAATTTGGTCTTTTTTGGTTGTAGTAACCTATATATTGCTCAACTGATATAGTATACTTTAGCTTTGCTGGAGATGCGTTGTTATCTTCTTTAAGCATCACCACTAAAGGTCTATTTGATAACATTAAAAAGTGCTGAAACTGAACTTTTTCAGACATTCAGATGTTTTGAGTGTTTTATAAATGAAAATCTATCTGTTGAATTTGTTAAGTAGTGCTGAAGTTGTGTGTATTTTTTTCAACACAAGAATCCTAATTGAATGCTTAATTCTAATAAGAATTAATAGAATTACTTCAACTACCTTATCTTATCTACCAAATCTACCCTTATTTGTTAATTATGTTTAAAATTCTTGTCTAATTAAACAATCTGGTATTCTCTATCTCAGATTCTCAGGGTTTTCTATTTCTCTTTTCTCCCTTTTTAATGACTTTCACATCTTCTCCATACTCCTCATATAATATATTTCAGCTTTTATATTATTTTGATTTAAAAATAAATATTGTCATTTTCATGCCTAATAATTTTAATCTAATTAAATCATAGGTTCTATTTCTTTTTTGGATATAAAGATATAAGGGCAAAATTATCAAATTTAACTTATTAAACATACAGTTATAAATGTTTAAATGTTTATCAAACTGTATAAATAAACTTAGCATTAAAATTCAGACATTTATAAATTTCTTTTCAGTGCTTAAAATTGAGCAAATTAATTGTTTTAGTATTCAGATTTCAGAATTCAGACTTCAGAATTCAGATTCATTTTATTAAACGGAACCTAAGTCTAAGCATAGCAAAATGTTGAGCTTATGGAGTAAATAACCGCAAAGGCCAGATACTTGAGAAAAGATTGCTCATTTGTTTTCTTATTCAAGCAGAATATAACAATAAAAAATCCAGATGACCACTCTTGTATTTTTTTTCTGCCCTATTAGTGATGCCATGGAATCAATTTACGACCAAATGAAAAGGAAAATATTTACCTTGAGCTTCTCCACATAGAAAGCTGGGGTGACAATCTTTCTGTGCTTAGCCCACTTCTCATCTTCATAGCCTGCCAAACCAGCTACTAGAAACTTGGCCAGTGGGTTGGGAATTGGCTTCTTGAAGATGACATTTTTAGTCAATATTTCTCTTATTAGTTCAGGGTCCATTATAAGCACCTTTGCCACTGGACCAACCCAATAGAATGATTTTTCACCTGCATGTTCCTGCTCACGTCAGTGTCTCTTTACTATTGTGACAATAATTGAAAAGAAATCTTCACCATTTTGATATTTTATGCATGAACGTTGTATTTCTTGCAAACAGAGAAACTTTGAGAGCTATAAAAAGAAGGTGCACTGAAGAAAATCACCGAAACAAGGATTTTTGTCTTTAGTTTAAAGCTACTTGCAAGTATGACTGCAACTGGCTTCTGTTGAGATCAATTAGTCATTCATAAGAATAGCAACTTGGTCACGTTTCATGAGCTAATCTTGCAATGATATTTGAGTAGTTAATACTATACTCACTGGACGCAAGAATATTACAGAAACAAAGGGTTGATGTCAGTTTTGGCTAACATTTTGGTGGCAGCTGCAGAACTTAAATACAAAATGCGCCCTCAAGAAAATGTTTATATACAAGTTGTGGCTTTTATTAACTTACAATCCGATTGCAATCAAGAAACAGCTGAAAATGAAAGCGAAAACCATTTCTTCCCGGGATATCTCCCTTTCTTTGTATTTTTGACACTAAATACTGGCAGCATTAGAATTTTAGTTAGATTAAGATGTACTGCCGGAAAAAATTCAACTTGAAGCATTGCTCAAGTGCTATCTTCACATATTACAGTTTGTCCTAATTATGTCTACAACATATTGCTATGGTGCTAGGACTGAATATATATATGTCTAACCTTGTCTCTAATCAAGATTAGGTTGTATTATAAACACATTAAATTCCAGCATATATACTACACAGCCTCACAATCCAATCTTAAGAGAAGTTAAAAATCAGAAACTATATATGGGAATTAAATAGGTGGACCACTCTAGATTATTAATTACTTATTCCCATCAAGATGCAAAATTTCAACCACCATATGTGACAACACAAGGATGCAGATCAAACGCAGGTAGGGATTTTCAATATATCTTAAGCTGTATTTTTAATGTTAAATTTGCCGCAGTTGTTATCAGGGCACAACAGAAGATACTAACGGAGCCATGTCACTAGGACAGTTTATCACTCAACATTGGCGTAACTACTTGATTTGATAGTCGTAAGTTCTAAGATGAAGAGGGCACCTTTAAACGCATTCCAAAAAAAAAAAAAAAAAAAAACAAAGGAGAATCCAGGGCAAGAAGGATCTTGATGTCTTGCAATCAGGTCATGACAACCACCAAACTATTGTTTATAGAAGCATCACTATTGCTCCTTGGAAGGTAAAAAAGGAGGTATGTCAGTAGTTCAAATAATACTCCCACTAAATGAATTTCTGTAGCCAGTTCAATCATTCATAGCACATTTTTCCATTTCAAACATATTTTTTTAGCAAAATTTTTCACATATATTATGTCCCTGCATTTAGACTTTTTCAAAACATATTCTCCATTTGTTTTCAAATAACTCATACTTGAAGGCCCATTTAACCATTGCCCCAGCCCCTGAGGGCAGTCTTTGATGAATAAACACTGCAGTTTTAGTCACCCAACGACCTGGAAAATAAAATTCTAATAAGCCCTTAAAATTGCGGCTGCATGGCCAGCTTAGAATGTGAAATAAAGATTCTCTACATAGATTGATACAATATATACATGTAAATTTGTAATTTCTGTTGCTAAAAGTTATGTGAGATAGTTTTCCATGAAGACTTGGAGGTAATGTGCAAAAAAAAAAAAAAGGAGAAAGAAAAACCAATTGTTGAGGGCGCCTAGACACGAAACTATGGTAGCTAGTCTGAAATGGATTTACATAATATGGAGTGAACAGAAAAAAGGGAAAACAAAATATGGTCGGAATGTATGAATTTTTTAATTAATAAACAATAACTCCATCTACTGTAGAGAACTGCAATGAAAATTAAGTACCGACACAAGTAAGAATTGCACTCTTTATTCATTAACCAAGTTCAAATTCTTGAGATTTCTTACCATATGTTTTGATGAGATGAAGTTGAAACGGCAAGACGCGAGGAAGAATATCATCAGATAATTTGATGGGTTTAGAGTTGGCTGCTTTAATCATGCTACCAATCTCCTTGGTGTCTCCATATAATAGCCTGTAGGGATTTCCATTGAAACCTTGCTTTCTAAGGCATCTTTCTATCCTTTTCGGGTTCAACCATACCCAATTTACAGTTCTTGCTGCCCAAAAAATTAGCAGCATAATCAAGACAAAAATGACTAAAACTGATAAAGGGGTTTTCATTTTCTCTATTGTGCTCCTGAAATTTGAATTTAATACTATAAATTCGAAAACACTCGGATGTATAAGACCTGAACACAAACTGACTAATACACACACGCTTAGAGAAAGAGAGAGAGATTTGCCGAGAAAAAGGAAGCTATAGGTCAATTTATAGCCCTCTTCTCCCTGCCATTACCATCTAGTGGTGCATTAATCAATCACATTGCAGTACTGCCTCTTGAGCAGTTGTTGCTCTCTTCCTGTGGGAATCTTTGCTGCACTATGGACCACTTTATTTCATTGGATGGAAAAAATTAACTTTGGTTTAAAGAATATTAGCAGTAGCCTGTGACCACATTTTAGTTGGCCTGATGAGAAATTGAAAGGACACAATTGAAAATATGCAAGATTTTACCTCTGCCTTAACCCAACAATTCCAAGGTTTTTCAAAGTTAAATTATTTAACAATACATGTGAGAAATCTATGATAATTATCTGACGTGTTAAATATAAGTATATAGACCAAAAACTGCAATACCAATACTACAAGTAACAAAATTTATCTCATATGAAATTTGTTTGAGGAGATTGATGATAATGATGCAACCTTAATCTTTGAAAATGTTTGTTCGGGAGATTTAGGACAGGGAGTCCTAATGCATGGGGTATAGGGTGTATGACGGGGTTGAAGTTAAACCTCGCAACTATTAAGCTGTCGAAATGGTAACTACAGGGGTTAGTTAGGTGCCCACGGGAAGGGGCAGGCCTTACTGTTGTCGCCTGTGTAAGGACATAGGACAAAGTAATTGTGACTCTATTATTTATGGAGTCTACAAAGGTTAAAAAAATACATAGGTTCACTAATCAAGACTATTTCTTTTCATTTTCCTTTTTTCTGACTTCTCGTGTCACTCGTTGCATAGGTCATATTTCAAGAAATCCCAAGTTTCAACAATTGTATAAATTTCAGTTTTTCATGGAGTCTCAAGTGTAATTTGAAATAAAAGTAGTGAAAGTAAAAGATCTCAAGCATATGTTTTGCAATTATCATCATAATCTTCAAAAAAAAAAAAAAAAGAGAATCTTTATCTCTATGGTTTTCTTCCTTGTTCCACTGAGGTCGACCAGCCAAGGTATGCTATGAAGAATCAGGTCCCGTTTGGCAAGTGAATATTTTGGGTATTTATCTAAAACTTTACTGTAAATTACTGTAGAAATTATAGAAAAAATTTTTAAAGTGTATAAATTTTTGGATATTTTGAAATGTATAGTTTAAAAATTTTGAAAAATTTTTTTAAATTACTGTAATTAAAGTTGTTAAAAAAACTTGTAACAGACAAATTTGGCCAAAAACTTGCTTGCCAATATATACGCATCTTTAATCCTCAAGGTGTAAAATAGTTGCTTTCTTCGTTGGAATGTAGGGCTGCAGGAACTATGTGTAAGGATTGTTGGTAGAGTGGTACCTCTCATTGTGCTAGACACCCCACCAAAAAAGAAGAAAACAAAAATCGGCATTCTGAAGAAAATATTGAATGATGATAAACAGTTAATGTATAAGATGTGGGAGAAAATAGCAATAGTCTACTCTACAAAATTGCCACTCGTTCCCTCTTAGTCCCAAAGTCTGAGTTCTCTAGTTCCTTGCTTCCTCCAAAGATTTGAGAAATAGCAATTCTCCGGTTTACAAATTTAAAGAGTTGACCCATAAAAAAGTCCAAAACGAAGCTAGGATATATAAGTCACATGCACACTCATTGACTTCACAGTTCAGCACCTCATGGGCACATCTTGGTTGATTGATATTGGACGTGCCGGTTGTTAAGAGGCACCATCTATGATTAATTTGAGGCTATATTTTAAACTAGTTGACCTTTTACACAAATATGAATGTAAAATTTATGTGTGCATGCAAGCATGGTTGCCACCATGTAGCTGCGAAAATTACCTAGAACTCTCTCTGCTTGAGTATGTGAAGATAAAAGAAAATTCAAACAGATAGAGATTAACAGAAGCATCGGGGCAGGATTAGAGATGGCAGATTCAATTACATTAGTATCGATTTCTGTCTTAAGTATACAAGTATTTGTAGAGCTTGAGATCGCCCTCAAAGCTGGTCAAACTCAATTAAATCCCAGCAAGCTAAAAAAAAATAAAGAATATAAGAAAGGAACTCCATTAAAATCCCACTGGTTATGATGTATACAATTACTTGAGAAAGGAGGATACACTAATAATGTTCTTTACCTATCCCTTTTCTTAATCTTAGCGTCCCATTGCACTAAGGTATTGATGCTTACATGGTTTAAACTAAAGGCACATTAGTGTTGAGAATCTGCTTTAATCAATGCAATCACTTGGGTGATCATGCTATGTCTGAACTCATAGATAGGGGACCATTCTATTTAGGCTGTTTGATTTGTTTGGGTCCTTGGGACGAAGGAAGATGATGCTCATAAATTCATCTCTTACTTTCTTGTCTGTTAGATGTTTACTAGAGACCTTGTATTGACAAGAAGATCATCTCCATTTTCAAGAAAAAAGGAATCCCAGGAAGCCTTAGCTGCCCCCAAAATTTAGATGCGATTCAATTTGGTGACTGGTCATATGAAGTAGAAAAAACAAGAAGGTAGCGCTTATAATTCTCCTGTTTAATTTCTTTATCGTCCAAGTTGGTTGGTGGTCATCGTTCAAGACAAAATTGAAGTGACATATGTAAGTGAAATCAACCTTAGAATGAGACCACTTTGCTCACTGCCCATTGTATGCACATTATCTATCTTTTAA